TAAACTAAACATGAATTAGGAACTGAGTGATTTGATAATAGTCTGCATCATGAGAATTTCAGAGATTGCGTTCCGGCGATAATAGAATGGACGACAGAAGAATAATCTTTAAAGGCTATTCAGGAAGATGCTTCCCTAACGCAAGCAATGTGAGCAAAGTCAAGCTTAAGGGATTGTGTGTGCCAGTTACACTAGGTGTCTCCCTCGTGAGTAAGGAATTTTGCTATCCTTGTACAGAAGGATTACCGCAAGGCGATTAACGGTCATCGATGATGTGAAAAGACGCCAAAGATGATGAGATAAAACATTTATAGGTAGCTCGTCGAAACACTAAATCTTAGTACTCCCCTAAAGGGGGGAATATGGAGTGATGCGGCATTAAGTCAGAATTAAATTATTCTAGTAACTATGGAATGGTAAAGAAGAATGCGAAAAAAAAATGAGAAAGGGATGAGATCGCACTCATTCAAATCCTACAGATATGCTATGATTCCTGAAGATTATGCAAGCAAGACGTCAAGGAGAGGAAACAAGGGTTCCTGTCCGAGATGTTATTGATAGATAAGGAGCATGTGCGAGATGTAAGTTAAGATAAAGGAGATAACCCAAGAAGATTACACGGAATATTGATATGAGAATGGGCCAATGAGTAGTTAATAGTTGATCCAGGAAGAGCCTAGTTATGGTTAAACAAGGGGACACAGACAAATCAACAGATTGTGCAAGATGAACATAGTGAACCCCAACATGGGGAATTCAGTCTCGCAGATATGACATCGTGATCCTTGAGATATATTCATATAGGAGTTGGGGTAGTTAAAGGTAAATAAAAGAGAATGTCACTGGAAGACAGTCAAAATATTAGTTCAGAAGCAACCCTACAAGCACAAGGGCGTGGAAATAAGTAACTACAGATAATTATAGGCGGGGAAGAACATCAAAAATTCCGTCAAGTATACGATGTGATAAGCTAAGTATGCACGCAACAAGGGACAGAAAAACCAGGAAAAGTAATTGCTTACGTTTAAAGAAAGCAGAGGTGGAACGAAAGGAATTATTCGATCAATGATCCAGAGTTAGTTACGTTATGAACGCACTTAAAATTTTGGAGTATTATCCATGCATCATATATATTGACATTCATACAGCCGTAGAAGACTCTAGTATAACTTAAAAGAAGGAATTGAGCCCAGGGCATAGACAAAGAATTGAATTATCAGAAGATTGTATCATGGATATTCCATAGCGCCCATGAAAGGCTAAAGTAATAACTAATATCATGAGCCGCAGATCGGAAGATAGCTTAAGCCTACATAAAGGCTGATCAGAAGAAAGAGGAAACTAAAGAGTTATATCAACGAAATAAATTAGGAGTCTGATTATTGGACCCAGAAAATTATAGACATCATGATTGAGAACAATGTAGAATCACTCTTAATATCAGAGGTACACGAGAGATAGTACAACAACCATTCTCTATAACGGCCCTACGAAAAAGCCAGTTAGAAGAGTACCAGCCTTAAAAGAAGTCAGTATGAAGCTTCCACTGGATCGTGTATGCACCAGAGTTGCAAGTATTATAATACAGCTTCAAGTTGTGGATGTGAATTATACCTATGTGGAAGGAAGATCATAAAGGAGATAGAAGATGTGATGCGGGATTTTAAGGTAAGTAAGATAAAGGTGAACAACGTACGAGATACTCAAATGCAGAAGGTTGTGAACAATTCATACTTCGGATAAAAGGCTAGAAGCGCGGGGATTCAGTATCCAGGAATGATAGCGGCGTCATCAGTGACATATCTTCCAAACCTATAATTTCTAGGTACTGAGAGATCTAGTCAAGAGAGCAAAGAAGAGTTGGAGACGATATGATGTCTCGCTTGATGTCCCAGAATGACATAAGAAAATCTATGGTGCAAGCAAGTTGAAGAAAGGGCGCGAGTAGTATAAATGGATATGTGTAGGTCGCAAGCTAAAGTATGGTAAAGCGACAAGATTTTTGGAAGACATGAGTAAGGATGAGAAAAGGTGAGTGAGAAGGTGACGAGAATGGATAAGTCATCGGGATTAAGCCCATGAAAACAAGAGAGCTAATGGTTCCTCTAAGTTATAGAGAGCTCAGTATAGTCTAAATGAATTCAAAGGAGTCTGAGACTAAGAGCATTTAGAAAAGATGGAATGTTACCCTGGTCGTAGAATGAGGGTGTAATTGTGATAGATAAAGGATGATGTTGGGCCTTCGATTGAGTAATGACTTAAAGAGGATTTCATGAATTATACAGGATTAAAATACCTATGTAAGGTGAGTCATCTTGGGATAAGCAACGAACGTAACGTGGAGTTTGGTAGCAGACTTCAGTAACGACAAATCGAGGTAAGAGTTATGGTATATTATGACCTACTTAGATGCAGTAAAGTCATGCGGATAGATAACCGGGCCTATGAAATAATATATGAAAATATTCATAAGTTCGACAAAGTACCGACCGAAGAACTTCAATACACCTATAAATGCCCAGGGGGACATCTTATCAAGTTCTGTATATGTTCCCAAAGTGAGGCCTAAAGATTGGCTAAAAGATGAAGGGAAGAGTCGCATAGGAGCACATGCAAGGAAAGAGTCCTACAGGCTGCACGGCAGAAGGTAGCAAGAGTTACGAGATTGGAAGAATTCTGACCACAGACCGTGGTGTGAGAAAGAAGCCTAAAAGAGGGAATGCCCTGGCCTTTGGATTTATTCAAAGAACAGTTGCCTAAATGGCAAGGAGAATATTAAAGTATTCGGAAGACATAAGTTATGAAAATGATAAGTGCATCAGTCAACATTCGAGGACGAATGTTCCAAAGGGGGGAATGATGTTATACCCCATGTTTTCGTACGTGAAAGTACGCCATAAGTAAATTGATAGAAGCTCGGAAATGAGATGGTACATCCTGCATTTTCGTATGTTAAAATTTTGTCGTAAGCTAGTCGACGTAAGTTCGAGAATGAGATTATTTTGAGATTATAAGCATTATGCTATTTCAAACAAGTGATCAGTAAATTCGTGAAGGTGAGAGGGTAAGCGAATCAAAGAAAATGAATTTTCGTCAAAGTTTAACATGTTGAGATAAAATATGGCCCGAGCTAAAATACCCGGTATTTATGGACTAGTGCCATACAAGGTACCACCTGACCATGTTAGTGAAGTGTATAAGATATGTTAAAAGTGAATAGTATTTTAAGCAATATGAGATAATTCTTAGTTATTGGGTAATGAGATATTACCTAATTAATTAGGAAATTATGTGAATAATTGGATAATTAATGATTTTTAGTGGGAAATTAATTAAAAAAAATCTTTAGATAATTAAAGATTTTGGAGGACTTAATCCCCAAAACGTGGCAGCATGTGTAAAGCTTTCATCAAGCTTAAAGTGACTAAGGATGTTATGAGCTAGGTGGCATCTTGAAATGGACTCTTGGTTATAAGCCATAAAAGGCTCTCAAATCACAAATATATGGAATGGAACGTGAGTGCTTTAGCAAAAGCCATACAAGACTTCTCCAATTCATCAAAAGTCACAGAAGATTATGATCAAATTTCAACAAACATACGGATGAAGCATCAACAAAAAGGCATCTCTACTTTAAGCATATATCAAATGCCAAAATATGCATCTTCAAGAATTCAACGTGATATTTCATAGCATCTGATTTCATAGCATCTTCAACAGTTCAAAACGTTATATTTTGCAATTATAAGGAAGTACAGTGCAATCTTTCTCAAGAATATCATACGGATATTTCCCTACTTCGATCCGCCGTTACGCGTTGTCGCAATCAACAGTGTTAAAGGGATTGTCAAGAGAATCGGTTCAGGTATGTTAAGGCTATCCCTTCTTTCTTTTGGCATGGTCCAAATGATACAAATGAAACGAGAATAATACACAACTTCCATAAATGACTCTATTCATAGAAATACTAGGGGTGTCTATATTCTTGATTCCCCATGTGAATTATTATTATATCTGTTGTTCATGGATCTCAGAAAAATACGTATTTGATAAAGTTTGTCCGACAGGCATATTATTTTTATGATATTCCGAGAAATCTTATTTACGTATTTCTTATGCATTTCATGCATTTATTCATATATATTGACCCATGACCATATGGCGTTATATACACGTATATTATATGTATATGGGATATGGGAAAAGATTACGACGTTATATACGCACCACCACCTGATCAGCTGGTATACGTTGATGATTTGTCCACAGTGGCCGAAATGATATGATGGGATGCCCTCAGAGGCTTTATGATGTTATGAACACATATACCTATGCATGATATGACATTTATACGCATATGCATGACGTGAAAAAAATGAAATGATTCACAGAGCTATGCAGACGTACATGTCGAGTCTTTTACTCCATGTTTCTCTCATGTCTATTATTTACTGATTTTCATTCCTTACATACTCGGTACATTATTTGTACTGACGTCCCTTTTGCCTGGGGACGCTGCGTTTCATGCCCGCAAGTCTCGATAGACAGGTCGAGAATCCTCCAAGTAGGCGATCAACTCAGCGAAAGATATTGGTGCACTCCATTTGCTCCGGAGGTACTTGTTTGGTCAGTATGATTTAGATGTGTATTGTTTGGTATGGCGGGGCTCTGTCCCTACCTTTATGACAATTATGTATTCTTAGAGGCTTGTAGACAGATGTCATATACGTAAAAGATTGTATGGCCTTGTCAGCCTATGTTCAGTGTACGAGTGGTTATTTTGGTCTTAGAGGCCTATATGTCTTATGTATAAGTTGGTATTACATGTTGTATTCTACCTATCTCATGGCAGCCTCTCCGGCTCAGTTATCTATGATAGTATGATACGAAAAGATACGTTATGTTGGTACTCGATTGAGTAAGGTACCGGGTGCCCGTCACAGCTCATCGGTTTGGGACGTGACAATGGGCTTGAAAAATAGCTTATATCTCTCCAATAATCAACAAAACACAAATCTTTATGGCTCAGGATTATACAAACTTGAGAAGATTAATGAACATTAGCAAAGCTAGAATTTTGAGTTTACTTCAGTTCAATTCCTCATGTGTTCGAATACCCAACTCAATAACATTAGCAAACATTTCTATACTGTTAAATTCTACTGTGCTTATGCACCAAACATTACAAAAGCTTGTGTAGTATTTTGCTTATACAGTGCACATGGGAGATATAACGGATACTGATTTGATAGGATCATGTTCTAGCTTTTGGATTCTGTTAAACTTGATTTACCGCCACCTCGGCCCCCCCACACAAAGAGGGTGGGGGTGGGGGTAGGGAAAAAAGAGCTACTTCCAAACTTAATTTTGAAGTTATTTCCTTGTGATCTTCTAAGGTGTTATCTCATGATAAATTCAGACAACCTTTATTTCTGTATGAATCACTGTCTTTGAAGTATCTTTGACAGGCTCTGTGCATGTGCTTCCCCCACCTTCCTATCTTGTTTTATAATTTTAAGCTTTGCTAACTCAGGAATACTTCTGCAATGTATCATGAAGTAATCCATCAATATCATCACGCATGTTAGAACCTTCATCATTATTGCTTTGATGAGGTTTAATTCTAGAGGAAAATCCTTCACCATGGAAAACCCATTCGGTGTAACCATCAACAAAGCCATTAACGACCAAGTGATCCTCCACCACATTTTTATAATGCCAATAGCGATTAATGCACTTTTGGCAAGGGCATAATATTTCATTTCCTTGGGAAGCTCATTCAAATGCCTTATCAAGGAAATCATTCACTCCATGTATATACTCATCCGCCCATCTTAGGAGATGCATCCAACTTTTATCTACATTATCCATGAAAATCCTATACGACAAAAGTAATCAACAAAATTAACTCAATAAACCAAGGTACATACTAATTTGACATTGACCAAAACTTAAAGGGGATGAAGTCTCAGAGTTACAAATAGTAAAGCAGTTTTTGCATTGAGAAAGAACTATAAAATCATTAGAGACGAGATTTGTAATCTAATAGTACCTTAAATATTGTACTAATCTTAAGTCTCAATCTGAGGCAGATTGAGGGAACAAGTTAAGACTGTTAGTTAGATAATTAGATTCTTTTTTTATGTTTGAAGTATCATGTAGATTCTCTTCTCTGAGTTTCAGTAATTTGGTTTGATGTAATATGTATAACCAAAAACCTTTATTATCTTACGATACTTGTTCACCTTGGGCATTGAAAATGAATCTGTGGAGAAATCATCACATTCGAGAAACAGAATTTTTCTCACCGTGAGTCATACATAATTACTCGTGATGGTTGCATCTTCACTGATTTTTCTCTTTACTTACTATGTTGAGTTGCTAAAATTCTAAGCTCTTAAAGACAATAGAAGCAACATACCAGTGTAAAGAAGATAAAAATGAAGCAGCTTGTACTAAGCATCTTCTATGCAAGCTCAAGCTTATTAAGATGGTGCAGGTGTATCATGTGAGAGTTTTAATATTGATGTGAATGCGAAGGATTTCGTCTTTGAACCCAGAGATAGCAGATAGATTAGTCTTTTGCTCTGTTTCAAATGTTTTCTGTTTCTATGTTCTTATGTTGCTCTATTAGTACTAAAATCCTTCAGTCCAGTGAGAGTTCAATAATATTTAGCATATTCTGATTTCATGATTTTATTGATCTTTTTCAAATATTGGAAATTTTGTGGTCCAAATATTTTCCTTTCATGCTTATAGGAATTAGCTGAACTACTAGAACTCACTGCTACCTTATTTCATTTGAGTACAGTGGAGTATTCCATCCAAATGGACAATTACTGAAAATATTTTGTGTATAGTAAATTATTTCATTTGGATTTATTCCCTGGTTGTATAGGCTAATATGTGGTGTTAATATGTGCAAGCACAAGATAAAGGTCCAAATATATTCAAACCACAGGACGTTGAACACAAAACACGAAAGTTTACCAACATAATGGAGACATGAAAAATACATACAGCAGTAATTTACTTCGACTAACAAAGTCCACATCAAGATGCTACACCAGCAAGAATTTTGAAATGTATTAGACAAACTTGTATAGCGAGGATATTTAGATGGTTGTAGTATGTTAAAAAAAAACTACTATACCCTTAAACATTAAGGGTGAAAACCAAAATCAGGAAATAATGAACCACATGATTTCACTTATTGCACATTTCAACAAACAGAAGAGAGACCTAACTTCCTCTTAATACCCAGAAGCTATTAGTTTTAAATAAGAACGGATATGAAAGGTTGTGACTACATTGAAGAAGCGTAACAACGTTCATTCAAAAGTGGAATAGCAAGACAACCTTTTATATTCAAGGTTTATAACGTACTGTCAATAATGTCCATTATCCTTTACGAAATTCACAGAATGAATGATTAAATTATCCAGTTTCAGTTTCTACATTCTCCCATTTCCAATAACATTACCTGGTACTAAATAAAAGCTACTTTCGGCTCCAATTACATATACATATAGAAAAGAAGACCAATGTAACAGAGAAAAGGAGCAAGAAATAAAATTCCATCTAACCAAACTAATCAAATATTAAGAAACAATATTGAAATCAAAAAGCACAAGAAATAAACCAATATTGAAAGCGTAATTCCAACAACACCTAAGTGAATAAAAGGAATGAGATTAACATACCTCTCAGATTAATCAGAAGACATGCAACAACAATCGCCCTTTTTAAAGAAGCTCTACAATCAAGAATCGCGCTTGTTTCACGAAAACCTAGCTTTGTTCTTCTCTGTTATCTTTGTATTTTCTTCTTCTTGATCTCTGGTTTATCAAATTGCTCTGTTTGTTGAGTTTGGTTTGGAGTGTGGTTTATCTGAAGATCTTACATATTCGTTTGGACTACTTCTCTGATTCGACCATAAAATTGATTTTGGAATTTGGGGATTTAGGGAAGGTTAGCAACTATCCTTGAGATAAATCTATAAGGAGATGAATCTATAGGGAAAGAGAGGATTTTGAGATGAATCTATTTCTGGATTTGGATTTTAGGAGTTAAAGAGAGGATTTTGAGGAATGAATTTTGAGAGGAAAAAAGGAGGAGATGGGTCGTTCTAATGAAAACCGGTGGGTGAGTTTGCTGGGAAAAGGGAAAAGATTATTTTAACTTTATATTATTAAAATTAATCAAAAATATAAAAAACAAATGGGGTTCATTCGGCGGGTTTACCAAATTTTGAGGGGGGAGGAGGGGGGAATGAAGAGGGAATGAAAACCGTTTCCATAAAAATAAAAATTTCCAGAATCGTTCCCATAAATCGGTCTATTGGAACGGTGTACAGACCGTGGCGGAAAAATATTCTATGGCAATGGTTCCACTACAATTGGAAAGGTTGGATAGTAAAAGTGTGTTGATATCACCCAAATGCTATTGTAACGGTTGTAACCGATACTATATCTACTCTATGGCAACGTTTTCTGAACCGTTGCTAAAAAATTATTGTCATAGGCCCATTTTCTAGTAGTGGATATACGGGTCTATACGGACGACATGATCATTTCACACTCATAGCATAGGCCGACAAGGTCATACAAGTATTCATATACATGACATCCGTCTACAAGTCTTTAAGAGTACATAAACGTCATAAGGCCGGGACAGGGCCCCGAGATACCAATCAATACATGTCCAAAGCATACTGACCAAATAGGCAACGTCGGAGCAAGTGGAGTGCACCAACACCTTCCGCTGAGCTGATAGCCTACTAAGAGGACTGTCAACCTATCTATCGGAACCTACAGGCATAAAACGCAGCGTCCCCAGGCAAAAGGGACGTCAATACGATTAAAGTACCGAGTATGTAAGGCATGAAAAGTAGTATATAAAAATACATAAAAGAAACATGGAGTAAAGGACTCAACATGTAAGTTTGAATAGCTTTGTGAATCATGAAATATTTATAATGGCATGCATATGCATATAAATGTCATATCATGCATAGGCATATGCATACATAACATCATCAAGCCTCTAAGGGCATCCCATCATATCATCTCGGCCTCTATGGGCGAAATCATCAATGTATACCAACTGATCAGGTGGTGGTGCGTATGTCATAACCTTTTCCCATACTCCATATACATATAATATACGCGTATATAACGCCATCTTGTCATGGGTTAATGTACATGTATAAATGAATGCAATGCATAAGGAAGTAAGTCAATAAGATCTCTCGGAATATCATAAGATCAATATGCCTTCGGATAAACTTTATCAACTTATGTATTTTCTGAGACCCATGAACAGACGATATAATAATAGGACACATGGAGAATCAAGAACATAGGCACCCCTATTACTGTTATGAATAGAGTCATTTATGAAAGTTGCGCATTTGCTCGTTTCGTTTGTATCATCTGAATCATGCCAAAGGAAAGAAGGGATAGCCTTAACATACCTTTGTCGTTTACTTAACCACACAACGTCGGTTCAGCCCGTCAGTACTTCAATCTATAACAAACAGTAAGGGACCATTGTTAAGCTTACGGAAGCTAGAACGCAACACAAATGAGAGACTAGCTCGTTTACGAAATTTTGGACATTACCTCCCCTTATTCTTTTAATTTTCCTCAAATCAAACAACAAGACCAACATGTCCAGAAAGTCAACAAACATACATATATATATATATATATATAAAACCTCATATTCATTACAATACATCACCAAAATAGTCCACACCATCTCACCCAACAACCAAGTTCTAACTTGCACTTTCCAAGCCTTCTCTTCATCCAAACACATCAACCATAATAGAAATAGTATTCTTAAGTTATTTCTACTGATTTCCAGCCATGAAACATCAAGAATTCAATTCCAAAATAGTCCAGCAACTACAACACTTCAACATGAAAACCTACTTCACAAGTTTCCTTTATCAAATCAACTAGATATACATCGATGATCTTAAATACATATAGGAGAAGTTAAACCTTACCTTGTCATCAAGAATACTTGTCCAACTAAGCTTTACTTCAAGCTCATATAAGCTCTTTACCCCAAACAACAAAGTAGAGAGATAACTAGGTGATCTTGATCTTCCTAGAGAGAAATCACCTTACCAACTTATGGATTTGGTCTTGAACCCTAGGATAACGTTGAGAGAGGTTTTGGGATGATACTTTTGTAATACCCCAAAAATATTTCGAAGTACTTAAGCGCTATTAAGAAAGTCGATGTGCGTTAATTATATTATTTTGTATGTAGATAAGGACTATTATATGAATGATATCAATTTATTATGATAATATATGTATGAGGTACATTAAGAATGGTTTATGGTCTAAGAAGAGCCCCAAGGCTAAGTCAAGTTGAAATATTTATGATGGAATAAAGTTTCAAGTGAATTCACACAAGAGATAACTTCAAACGATTATACCTCTTCTGACATGAAGAGTTATATGGTGTATTACCTATCACATTAAATACCTTTGAATCTAGTTTCCAACACTTCAAACCGTTTGTCATTTGGACATTCATACAAGAAGTTATGACCAAATTACCAAAGGCTGCCAGAATGCAATTCTGCGACCATTATGTGACCATTATGCGATGGCAAAATGGTTATGCGACCGCAAACTGGTCGCATAATGGACCAGAACAGCCCAGTTCTAGGCACCGAATTATGCGACCATTGTGCGACCCGCACACCAATTGTGTGGTCCATTGTGCGACCGCATAGTTGAATTCGGAGGTTTTTTTTTGTTTTTTTATTTTTTTATTTTATTTTTTGGCAAATATACTACTAGGCATGCCTAGTAGCTATTTTATTAATAATAATAAAAGAAAAGAAAGAAAGAAACCACATAGGAAGAGTACAAAATAAGGGGGACAATAGCACTAGTAGTGTTACCTATATGCCTTGGCTACATAGTCACTCCTCTGCGCCTCTCATTGCCTTATGATGGCAGCCTCATGTAGAGGATCATGGTGTAGCTGCCGACAAAGTCTCACAAGGGCATATAATCTTATAGCCATTTGGATATCTTTCCAAAGGCATAGGACTAAAGCAACACAAACTGGGCTAAACCTTACCTTGCGAATCCTATTGAGGCATAAAATAACCCCACCTACTAGCATGCATGTAAAAAGTAAGAACTAGAAAGCACCAAATATTCTATGATCATCACAGAGTTTATAACATACTCTGTGATGATATTACAAATGACTATACTAATAAAGTGATAGAATAAAATGTAGTATGAATTAAAGTCTTGTCCCTTCTTGCCCAAACTTGTAACTTCTTCAAGTTGTAATTCCTTTTCATCTTCTCCACACCTCCTCAAAATGTCTTCAAAATTCATGACTTCTTTTTTGAACGATTGGATCTGGTAGATGTAGTTAGGGCAGCTTATTTTTGTTTTGCAACTCTTATTGGAAGTCGCCTAATGTTTACTTCCTCATTCAACTTGCCGTCCCAACTCTTCTTCCTTGTATGGGTCTTCTTACTTTGTCCACTGTGCATAGGTGATAAATCACCTTTTTTGGCTGCCTCTGCCCAGCATTGTTGCAATATTGCATCTTCCTCTCCATCCTCATATACATCCCTTCCCCCGTTCACTGGAATTGGCAAGCTTTGATCAAGACCCTGTTTTATCAAGACATTCCCATCGTGCGTATTTGCCAAAGTTGACTTGTTTTGTTGTAGTTCTATGCCTTGTATCTTGTTCCTGTTCTTACCCACACGACCAGTGCTAAAAGCAGAAAGGTTTAGCGAGTTTACAGGTTTGGAACTTACTATCGCGTCTAATAATTTTCTGTCCTCCAAAGTGATCAGTGATGCATTTAACTCTTGCTGCTGCTTTCCAGCCTTTGAAGGCAATATTAAAGCAGCTGACATGGTTGAATTTTGTTGCTGCTGTCCAGCACTCGACAGTGTTGCTACTAATTCCTGCTACTGTTGTTCAGCGTTTGAAGTTGATATTACAGCATCTGGCAAGTTTGCAATTTGCTGCTGCTGTTTAATAACTGATGGTATTACTGCATATTGATCCTCGACAAAGGTAGCAGCTGATGTGATTGTAATACTCTGCTGCTGTCCAGGCCTAATTAGTGCTGCATTTTCAACAGAGAAGCACCTATTGTGCTTGTTCCTATATGTTGTTGTCCAGGTTTAGGCACAAAAACTGCTGCCAATTTTTGGCAAAGATGGTGAGCCAACGGAAAGCACACCCTCATCTTCACTATCTTGATCATCTTCCTCAGTCGAGTTCCCAACATACTCATCACCCCAGTCCTCTTCATCATCATCCTCGCATTGGTCTTCCCAGAACATAGATTTGATAACCATCCCCCTCACATTTACCTGTGTAACTTCGTTGTTATTTCCATAGGACAACATCAACTGCCCTTGCTCACCTCCATATTCACCACAGGACTCCAAAGATTGTGATGGTACTTCAAAAACTGAGGTGTTCAAAGTGACCATTGGTTGTTTAACCATATTAGTATTCATCATCATTGCATTCTGGGCCTCTTTGATGATTTGTTCCACGTGAGGGTTGGAAAAATGCAGTGTAGGAGTATTAGAACTGTGTGCCTCGGCATTTTGCGCATCAACAGGAACAATGTCCTTCAAAACAATTAGTCGACTACCTGTGTTCTTGGAAAGTTGTTGTTTGCTATTGCCTGGGGATTGTGGTTGCTTATTTTTTGGAGTTGTGTTCATCATCATAGCTGCCTGGGCATCCTTTACCGTTTTAGCTAGCTCCAGATTGGAAATTTGCAGTGTTGGTGTAGCTGCAGCAGGTATTTGACTTGCCTCAACAGTGTGATTATCAACAGTTGCGATGTCAAGTCGAGCACCTATGTCCTTTGCATTTTTCTGCTGCTTTTCACTACATGTAGAGCGATGTCAAGTCGGACGGTTAATTTTTCTCTTTTCATAACCCGACCCCATTTTGATAAATAGGCTTTGGGGCTTATTTTGGGATATTTTCTGAGGGTTTTAAAGAGAGGTAAGAGCATTTTAGAGAGAGAAGGAGGAAAACTAATATTATAATCATCCAATCTTGCACCAATCTTCAAGAATCAAGGAAGCTAATCACAAGATCTTCATCTAAGAGTTAAGGTTCCATACCCTAGTTT